CCGCCTTCGCTCGGCCTCTCAACAGCGTCCCCAGAACAACTGCCTTCGCCGCCTGCTCCTTGACACCCACCAGCTCAGCTATGGCTTCGAAATCACGTAGGAAGCTCCGTATGTCTCCCTCCTCAAACGCAGCTGGCCACGGGATCTTCATTTTTCCGGAGGCAGCGACACCAAATGTAACAACAGAAGACAAGGCTGGCAACAGATCAGTTTTATTACGATAACCAACATGTATTTATATGCATTTTACATACATTAATAGACTTCTGCCCGCAGAAAGAAGGCGGTCTTCTGATTGGTTGTTTGCACACAAACGCAGTCTTCTGCTTTCTCGTTTTCTATGTTTCTCGGAAATGCGAGCCACTTGTCTGCGAATCATATTTGTCCATGTCAAGGTCAGCTGTGATTGGTCCTTGAATCAGCCTAGATTAATTTCTACCAATCAGCGTAGATCAATGTCTACCAATTGGCTAGCAGCTTGCTCTCACCACAGAGGAACATAGGGCTTCAGCCATGTGTCTCCATTGCGTTCGGTTCTCTGCTGTAGTTTTCACCTGGCTCCAAGTCTGCCCACACGCTTTCAATTCCTCTTCACATGATCTCCTCCAGGTCACCCTTGGACGACCAACTCGTCGCTTCCCTTTCGGGTTCCACTCGAGGGCTTGTCTAGTGATGTCACTTGCTGGTTTCCTCAGAGTGTGTCCAATCCATCTCCATTTCTTCCTGCCTATTTGTTTCACGATCGGTTCCTGGTTGGTTCGCTCCCAGAGATCTTTGTTGCTGATCCTCTCCGGCCATTTGATCTTGAGTATTGAGCGAAGGCATTTGTTAATGAAGGTCTGTAGCTTGTTTGAGCTGCTCTTTGTGACACGCCAAGTCTCTGATCCGTATAGTAGTACTGACTTCACATTGGAGTTGAAAATACGGATCTTATTTTTGACGCTGAATGCTGTTGACCTCCACATAGACTTGAGAGAAATGAAAACTTGTCTTGCTTTTCCGATTCTGGCTTTGATATCCTCGTCAGTTCCTCCTGTAGTTGAGACGATGCTTCCCAGGTAGGTGAAAGAAGTTGTTTCCTTCAGGTTCCTCCCATTTATGCTGATTGTTGTCGGTTGTTGCTGTTGATGTTGGCCAGGAATCTTCATTACCTCTGTTTTGTCTATGTTCACTTGAAGTCCTATCTTTGCTGCTTCTTCTGCCAATTTGTTGCTTTTCACTTGCATATCTTCCAGTTTGTGGGAAATCAGACATATATCATCGGCGAAATCCAAATCCTCCAAGGCTTTTGTGTCGGTCCATTTTATGCCTGTTCCCTCGTTGGTTGCCGTTGTCTGCCGCATTATCCAATCAACTGCAATCAGGAAGATCATTGGTGACAGTAGACAGCCTTGTCTCACTCCCGTCCTCACTTCGAAGGATTCCGTGAGCCTCCCGTTGTGGATTACTTGGCATGCAGCGTTGTCATACAGCTGTTGGATGAGATGTATAATTGTCGGCGGCACCCCGTAGTAGCGAAGTAGTTGCCAAATCACCTCTCGATCGACGCTGTCGAAGGCTTTCTCAAAATCGATGAAGTTGAGATAGAGAGGTGACTGCCATTCCAAACTTTGTTCAATGATGATCCGTAGTGTGGCGATTTGGTCAATGCATGACTTGTTCCTCCTGAATCCGGCCTGTTCCGGACGAAGTTTTTCATCTAGGGCTTGTTTAATTCTCTCCAGGATGATGCGACATGGTATCTTGCTTGGAATAGACAGAAGCATAATTCCACGCCAGTTTTTACATTGACTCAAATCTCCTTTCTTTGGCAGTTTGAATAAGTATCCGTTCTTCCAATCCTCGGGTACTTTGCCCTCTTTCCACACCTTCTCTAGTAGTGGCGTCATCAAGTCCGCTGTTGTCTCTGGGTCTATTTTCAAAGCTTCTGCTGGGATTCCATCTGGTCCTGGCGCTTTCCCAGCTTTTAGCATCTTGATGGCATTCAGGACTTCGGATTTCGTCGGAGGGTCGATGTTCATTGGTAGTTCTGCTTCCGTTGTTGGTATTGTTGGACGCGTTGTAGGTGGCGGACGATTTAGAAGTCTTTTGAAGTGTTCAGCCCAGTGCTTCCTCTGTTCCACCTCTTTGGTGATTGACTTTCCATTGTCGTCCTTTATTGGCTTAATCTGTGTCGAACTTTTGCCCGAAAGGTGCCTATTTGTTTGGTATAGTGTAGCGAGGTCTCCTTTGCCTGCAGCTTGTTCTGCTTCGTTTGCCATGGTTTCACAATATTTTCTTTTGTCTTCCCTGGCACTTTTCTTCACTCTTTTGTTCAGTGCATTGTAGCTTGCATTCAACTCCTGTTTCTGTTGTTAATAGTTTTAACTACACCTTTACTTAGCCATAGTGGGATATGTTCTCGAGCACAAAAACTCAAGTTCCCAGAGCAACGGCCAACATAGCTCGCTCCACAAGCGCAGTTGAATTGATAAATACAATTTGAAGTGGCTAGTCTAGGTACTTCATCTTTCAGTCGAGGTAGCACCATCGGCCTTGTAGAGAATAAGATGTGTAGTTCGCCAGCATTAAAAGTCCTTTGAACTGATTTTCCTAATTTCTTTGTAATTAACTCACTTGGTTTATCGCCCTTGAATTGTAGTCGTATATAAAGGGGCTTCTTGTTTACAGATAGTGGGTAGTCCTTTTCGGCCTTCTTTGTCATATGTTTCTTGATAAATTTGTCAGGATAACCATTTTCGATTAAAGTATCATATACCATGCTTAATTCATCTTTAATTACTTCTTCAGAGCATGTAGCTCTAACTCTGTGGCTAAGGGTCTTCACCAAATTCCTTTTGTATTTGATGGGAACGAAGCTATGAAAGTGTGTATATTGTCCCGTCCAAGTACTTTTTCTATGTAAATTTCATTTTATGCTACCGTCTGGTTTTCTTGTAAGTAGGACATCCAGGAAGGTAATTCTGTCTTGGGATTCCTCTTCGCATGTGAATTTCATAGCCGAATGTACTTCATTGAATTCAGTAATTATTGTACTCCTATCGGAACCATTATCACAAAGAATAAAGGTATCATCTATATATCGGCAATAAAATGAGAGCTTACTGATAAGGTTGTTCAGAGATCCATTTTCTAGCTTACTTAGAATTTTTCATATTGAGTTATCTACGACCGTGAACTTTAGTCGGATGTTATCACTAAAACTCTGGCGTAAAAGTACACATTGTTCAAAGTGTTGAACAAAAGTGGACTAATCTTTGTAAGTCTGAGGTCAAATTTTGATCACAGTTCATAAACTTTCGTTTTTTTATATTTTGATGCTTGTTTCGTGACTCATACGACTGGAGAAAGTTTTTAGAAACAAAAGATGTCCATTTTTATGTACAAACCTTTGTTATTTTTATTTCGATTAATTTCCCTGGAGAAGTTCGGACGAGTCTACCGAACGAAACGTTAGAATTACTCATTTCAATTTCGCTGAGTTTTTACAAATATAATTTTTTACAAATGTCTACTTCTCACTCGTTGCCCAATTATTTTGGAACTATTCGATCGAATCCTGATCACAGTTCATATGAATTAGTTTACAAAAGTATCAAATATTTTTCTATAGTCAAAAGCGAACGTACACAGAACCCAGTGATTATGCTTCTCTCATAATTATTTATTCGTTTTTTTTGTGAATGTGGGTTTGTATCGTCTCATAGAGAACCAATCAAGGGATAAAATGACCGAATAACTACCCTTACTCTTAAATAAGTGTAGTAAAACATAGTCGAATTATTGACGTATACCCCTAAATATTTAAGATTTGATTATAATTTCAATTAAATGATTTCTAATTGAGGGCTACCCTGGGTCTATTTAAATCACTACTGAATTTGATGTAAGAGTTGGACAATTTTTGCCATCCCATCGTTGGTCGTTAAACTAATTAGACAATTGAAGGTTCTAATTGACAGCTTTAATATTCATTTCCATTGAATTACAAATCCATTTGTCTCAGTTGTGTGATTGATGGATATAATATCTGATTTTAGAAGTCATAGTGTTTATTTACGTACTACTCAAAAGAAATATAGGTTTCAATATAGATTTCTCCACAAACCAATCTCAGTAAGAGATCACTGAAAACCATAGAGGACTGGATAGCTGTTGCATCCTATTTTGGGAATTTTCAGCAGTGCATACTCATGATCCCATCAGGAATCGAATTCGGTACCTTCATGTTAGGGTACAATTCAACCATTTGGGCTGGTAGAATTCAATGACCTGTGAATTCTAACTTTATCAATTCGTGATGTAGTGCTATTGTCACCCAGTATATTCAATGAGCATCCAAATACATTATTTGAACCCCCAATCCAAATGGCTGAACAGTCAACGAACTTGGTCCTGTAACCTGAAGGTCCCGGTTTCTATCCCTAATGAGGCTGCCAGTGTGCACTGCTGAAAATTTAAAAAAACAGGAAGAAAGAGTTGCTCAATGGTTCTTGGTTTTGTCATTATTATCACTCACACTGTATATATATATATATATAAGCTTCCTTTGAAACAATGGAGGAGATTTGTAGCTCAGGTGGATGATACTGAATTAATTGTGTTCTCTGAGCTGATCGATTTAATCGTCGTCCTTATAGACAACATCTTCAGTGCAGGTTTTAGTATGAAAAGAACTCATTTAAATCCTCGATGAATGATGTAATTGATTCATTTTATACTAAAATCTGCACTGAATATGTTGTCTAGAAGGACGACGAAAGCTTTGCAATTAAAGCAACCAGCTCAGAGAAAAAACAACTAATTCAATAAAAGCTTCCTTTATCCTATGTTTCAGAATAATGCCTGTATTTATTTTCATAAGGAATCTTTTCATCTCCTAGACTGTTTTTGACTGAAAATAAATTACTTTACGTCTAGAATTTTTTAGAATTTTATTCTTATTAGGTGAATGGAAAGAACGATATGTATGATGTAAATCTTTTTTCTCATTTTTGTAGGTCGAACTGCATCAAATCAAGATGTATGCGATTTGCTAACTGATATTGCACATCGTCTTACACCACCTATACGTTCAAAACCAGTGGAGATATTACAGTTAGCTTCTGAAGTGACACATGCATTCGGTGGGTTACGCGTTACAACTTGTAAATCAGCCAAGGATCGTACTGCTATGTCGGTGACATTGGAACAAATTCAGTGGTTAAAGGTTAGTTAGCCAGTTGGTTAGCGTTGTTTTGTTTTCAACTTAGTTTGCATTTCCTGTTGGACTGAAATGTTCGATCTCAGTTGACATATCGGCTTCTAGTACGAATACTTCAACAATGTCTGGAGATTAACATGATGCTATTTGGTTGATGGTGACGGACAGTGGAATCTAGGGTGTGCATTTCATCCTACTTAGGGGGATCGTCAACTGAATGTAACTGTATTCTCAGTAAGTGGCGGTGTTACGAGTTTCACTGGGAACAGCACTACTTATCGGTGATACAGGTACATCTAGTTAACGACCATCAAATAGGACGAAATACGGATTCTGGATTACTTTCTTGTCAAATAAGAATAAAAATACCTGTTGGGTCTTTAAAGGAAACGAAAGACAACTCAGCGAAAGTTTTTCTTCATCGACGTTATCTCCTTCAGAAGTTCTACAGTGTTATAACAACCTGTTATAGATAAAGTGAGTTAGCAGTCGTTTCTGGAGATAGGGGAAAATCACATTATCATCAACAAGATAATGGAAGAGTCTGAAATCTGATATATGGTGAAGATTCATATTAGCTGTGAAATTGATGTCTGCTTGACATATATGAAGAGGATGAAAATGAAACAAAATGCACCAGAGGAACACGCTAAGATTGGTGACGCTGAATTATTTACTACAAGAAGGATCCAACAATTAAGGTGGAGCTAAAGACCCTTTTGGGATGAGTGATTGGACGGACTGTTTATACATACAGAATTCAGGTTTATTATAGCTGCCTAACTGCTAACTCCTGCGTCATCTACAAGTGTCGGTATCTAACACTTTGAACCATTCGGCTTTACGTTGTTTTCAAAGGAGGGCTTTTGATGAAGCAGAGAGACTTCATTTTACCGCATCCTTGGGAATTTAACTGGTCATTAGTTTGTATTGTCCTCTTGATGGCTATGTCGAATGGTGTTTAGCGATGTATTTGGAAGATTTGCACTTTTTGCAGCCTATATAGCCAGCTCTACAGAAGCGCGTGAATTTGTAGGTACGCATTAGAGTGGTAGTGTTTCTTCATTCTTCCGTTCATCACTTTTCAGCTTAGCGGATGAAAGGTTTTTTCGGCAATCTGGATAGTCTATCCTTCAACATTTGTAAATAACAGTTCGTTTAGAGCTGTGCGGATTTTCTTGTCACTATTACTTCATTCTCATTCTTGCAGTGTATTTATTGTGTACGAACGCTTACTTTTAGAGCGTTTCCAGTTCCTTATCGATTATATCACCAGTGCAAATCTTTCCGATTCTTACAGATGAGGAATTGCATAGGTTTCTATTTCTGTTCAGAAGAAATCCAACTACATGAATTCGTCTGTAGATAATTTATGCTGAATTCCTGTAGATTGATCTTTAGAATTATTGTTCTTACATTCTATTCCTTTGGGTTCACATTGGAACATAGGGCTTCAAGCTGTAAAGTTTTAGCAACAGTGATGTTATCGTTTTTTATGGGGTGGGGTTGCTAGTCTCACACCCAACCTCCCCTCACTACTGGCTGAGCGATGTTTAGGAGTACGTCGGCTGGGGATTGAACCCCGAACCATATATATGTAGTTGACGAGTACTCTACCGTTGAACCGCTGACGCACAGATCCACCTCTTTCTCAAGAAAATATCCATGAAATGGAATTCTGGATGTAGTTCTAAGATAACTGTTGCTTTTTGTTGTGTTGTATTTTATCATTAATCGATGGATAATGAATTCCATTTTGACATTTCTGTGTTGTTGTTTTGTTTTTTGGAACGTGCCTGCATATTAATACAAACACAGAAATATATTTGGGTCTCTGTCTTATATGTTTGTCATGCAAGGTCTATTCATATGTAACTTACATGGATAAATCCAATCACTACTTACCTTTATTCTTAACGATTTTCGTTGAGAAACTATTTATTAGTTTAAATCCATTTCGGTTTTTCTTGTTGTTATTAATCCGTCTAGAATTAATTATGCCTCTCTCTCTCTGTCAATCTTGTCTACATAAAGTTGATGAAATGAACTCAAGTCGATTGATTTTTCTATAGAAGAATTATGTGATTTCTTACTTTATTCTTGTAATACTTCTGTGTTGTTCATATTTCGCTGTTTCTTTTGTTTTACTTTACTGCCGAGAGTATATATATATATATATATATATATATATATAAACATATCTGTAGAACTGGATTTCTCAGATGATATATGTCTAATGTCACACAAACTCGAAGACTTGCAGGCGAAAACCAACAAACTGGATGAAGAGGCAGACAGCGAAGACAGGACTCCAGGTGAACATGGAGAAGACGAAGGTGATGAAGATAACCAACCAACAGCAACAACAACCAGAACCAATCACCATCAACGGGCGAAACTTGAAAGAGGTTACTTCCTTCACTCATCTAGGAAGCATCATTTCAATTACAGGCGAAACAGATAAAGATGTCAAAGCCAGCCGGAATTGGAAAGGCAACCTGAAACCAGTTTGGAAATCATCTGAACTGGACTCAGCCAGCATAAAGAACAATATTCGGATTCTGTTCAACAAAAATGTGAAGTCATTCAGTCAGTCACTTCTTCTATACGCGTCAGAAACTTGCACTGCGTGTCACGGAAAGCATTTGCAACAGCCTGTTGCTGACTTTTATCAACAGCTGTCTGCTTCGTTGACCCCATACTGCAGATCAAATGGCCAGCTGGCCAGAAAGAATTAGCAACAAGAAACACTGGCTGGGAACGAACCAACCAAGAGCTGATCGCTCAACAAATATGTAGGAGAAAGTGGAGATGGATTGGGCATACGTTGAGGAGACCGTCAAATGACATCGCGCTCAATGCAGGTCATCGCTCGAGTGGAATCCCAATGGGAAGCGACGAGTGGGTCGTCAATGTAAGAGTGACATGGAGGACGTCGTGTGGCGAGGGAGAGATGAAGGGTTATGGGCAATCGTGTGGTTAGCCAGCTGAAGAGGACAGCAGCAAATAGAACAAAGTGGAGATGTGTTGTTTTAGCCCTATGTTCCACTCGGAGTAATAAATCATAATAAGCAGATATCAGGAGACGTTACTTATGTACAGCTGTCGAAAAGGAAGCCAATCATAATATTTTACCCCCCTTTCAAGTTGAGAATATAATAGAAATGAGGCCAAGGTACCTATTCACTCCTTTTGCTTTATTTTTTTAATCTCCTTTGGAACAAAATAAAAAATCAGTTTCTCCAAGCGAATAATTTAAGATTAAATTGTTATTGTTTCTGTTTCCCAGTGTGATGAAAATCTGTTTGTTGTTGATATGGTGACAGGAGCTTACTTCTCTCTGCTTCTTTTCCCTATCCTCTTTTATCTTTCCTTTTTATGTTCTTTGTGTGTGTGTGTGCGTTGTAGAGTTTAGTTTTCGTCATAGTTTGTAAAACAGTTTCTTCTTTTTTCAAAGGGATGGAATCCGTGTAGTTTAGGAGTTAACGTGGTCTCTTACAATGTATCATTAAACAGAGAAATCTCAAAAACTTGGCAATTTCCTATCATTAAAGGCTAATTCATCTAATTGTATGCTTAGATGTTCTAATTGTATCTTTTTTTATTATGATTTTCATTGCATTATAATAATGTTTTTTTATTGTGTTTGTTATTGTCGTTATTTTTTTAAGTTAGCTAGAGTTTGATAGGATTTACTATCAATTGTTTTAGTATACTTTCTCATTCCCCTTTTGATTGAAGAGGTTCAACAGAATCAATCAACAGAAAAGGCAAAAGTAACCTAAAAACAAGTACCAAGTGTCACAGGTTCGAGTCTCTCAGTGGAGAGACCACCAGTCACTTGGAATCCAGGTACTTCCAGCTGACAAGTTTTCAGTCAAGATGAAATGCTCATCGTGGATTCCACTGCTAGTCACTATCAACCAAAATTAATATTAGTTGGCTATACTAGTCCCCCTAGTGTGATGATGAAATGATATTCGAAGTTGAATGGCTCTATAGTGATTTCACTTCTATCGTGAATTTTACTTGTCAACTGTTACAGGATTTTCATCATGAGCTGACATTAGTTAGAGAACCATTGGAAAACAAGCTGGGAGTACTGGATAGCTGTTTCGTCCTAGTTTGGGACTCTTCATCAGTACTCACCCACCGGGATTCGAACCCAGGACCTTCTAGTTACAAGGCGAGCTCGTATACCATTCAGCCACTCGGACCCGATCCAATGGCCCATGAACTCTAACTTCTGCCAATTCAAGACAGCGCCACCCCTAGCCAATGTCTTCGGTGAGTATTTGTCCTCACACGCGACCTGATGCACCCTACTGGTCACGACTTCTCACTAGAACCCCAGGTAACTACCTACCTGAATATGGCAAGTCGCTAGTGTGCATCTCATTGACAAATTGACTTCATTTGGTGAAGCATTGAGAACCAGGGTGTTATTTGGCAGCTATCTCGCCTTTGATTGGGACTCTTCATCGGTACACATGCATGATCCCACACAGAGATCGAACCTAGTACCTTTAGGTTACAAGTCTGTGTGTCGGTCTGTTTTCAAGATAGAACTTTGCACCGATGTGCAGCAGTTCAAGTCGCCACACTCCATGTAGCACACAAAGCAAGAGAAGAAAGTAGAAGAAATACAAAATGAAGACAAAAGGAAGAGTAATAACGAAGAACAATATAGTTTCATTGGAAATTACAAATCACAAGGAGTGTATGCATCTGCGCCAGCCATTGAGAACGATTTTGACCCATATCACCAATTGTCTCCAGTCATTGGTGTTTGTCGTCCCGAGGAACCCAACCATGAAGTCTACACCTTCCTACGCGACTGGCTGGCTTTAACTAACTGTTGTGGATTTCATTAACTGATGCCATGTTTTGGTTTGACCACCATGTGCTAGCTCTTTTCCAGCCTGACCCTATGTCAGCTAACATTGCCCGTCGAGGGAGGCGATTTCTAGGCATACGTTACAAGTTGGACTGGTATACATTCATCCATGAGTGAATTGTCTTCTTTGATGATTTAAGGTATAATACTGTTTTTCATACTCTTATTCTTTTCATTTTTCTTCAGAAAAAGAGAGTTAAACTCCTTGAAATCGCTTTTATTCTATATATGAAATATAAGCGAATATAACCAACAAAGTGTTCGGTGTAACATTCTTCAGGAATATAATAACCTCCCAATGAGATAATAATTTTGTTACTTATTTTACAATGCTGCTCTTTGTTTCTTCTCATAACTGACATAACTTTTGTTAGAGTTGAATTGATACATTTATTTGTCTGAGTTGTTTTCCCCATTTCCAAACTGCTATTTTCATGAAATTTATGTCTCTTCTACAAAACGTGTTTGGAATAAATTTAATGTAGAAATATTTAGGTAATTAAATGGTAGCAATATTCTCTGATATATAATAGTTCTTAGATAGCTAGAGTAATCAACATAAAATCCTTGGAGAGTTATACAATTTCCAATCGTTATGACGTAATGGAAGTGAATATTAACCTTATTGCCTATTCGTTTTGGTAGGTGATTGAAATATGCAATCACTAATAATACAAATATGAGACTATTTTCCTGCTGCTACATTCCCTTGGGTTCCGAGTGGAACATAGGCCTACAACAACACATCTCCACTTTGTTCTATTTGCTGCTGTCCTCTTCAGCAGGCAAGCCACACGATTGCCCATAATCTTTCATCCCCTCGTTGCACGATCTCCTCCCTGTTGTCTTCGGGCGATCCACTCGTCGCTTGCCAGTTGTATTCCCTTCGAGCAGTGGCCTGCATATTGAGCGTGATGTCATTTGACGGCCTCCTCAACGAATGCCCACTCCATCTCCATTTTCTTTTTCATGCCTGCTACAGTAGTCGACCGAAATGTGTAGAGAGCGCCTGGCTTATTCATCGGATAAATCGGAATACCTTTTGATAGAAGACGAAATTAGTTTAATGTTGTGAATGTTTTTGTTCCCTCTTATGCGTATGATGTATGAGGAGAAACTATGATAACGTCTATTCTATAATTCGAAATTATCTTGAAATGTAATTTTTACTTGTCATTTTACTTTCAACTTAACCACGTTAAGAGAAAGAGAATGGCATTATGTCGATAAGAGTTTGCATGTCACAAGCCTTTTTTTCTCTCTCTTCGAGTTGACAGGTTTAGAATGTTATTAACATTTTTGCGTATTAAATTAAAGCAAAAATTTCTGTGGCCTTATATCAGTCAAGTTTCATATTTATTAATCAAAAACAGGAAAGCCTGTCAGTATGTTCGGTTATTTAACTCTAGCTATGTAACTACTCTGCGGAATAGATATAAATAGAAGATTATGATTTTAGTTATTGTCTTTTATATGAATTTCACATACTTTTGTAGATGCATCGAGTTTTGTAAAGCCCTGGCCAACTGGTGGTTATTAGTTGCTTGTGCAGTCCAAATTGAGATATAGACTATTAGCGTGAACACTCGGTTTTCAGCTGATAAGTCGTAGGTGGTTTGAGTCGTATTCAACGTCGTACTTCAGGATGGACACCTAGATATTATTATCAGTACACTCATACGTTTAATGTGGCTATTGACTCTTGGTATATGGAAAATCTGTTCAGGGCAGTTGAGCTTAAACAGAGTGTAGTCCAATGAGTGGTAGTTTCACCACTGTGAAATAGAGTATTGTTCCATTTATCCTCTTTTTTAAATTTAAATGCTCTATTTATCATCTGTTTTATATTGCTTATCTATATTAAAAAGTCTTTCTTTTATTCTCCAACGCTGTGCTGAGTATCTATTGTTGTGAAAGGTTGTCAGACCAATTACATTCCTCTTAGTTGTACAATCTTTCATTGGTGTTAACTTTGTAGAAGTTTCAAAAAATGAAATAACAGATCCAATTATGAAAATAGCTTTTTTCCTTGAAATGTGACTAGTAAATCTGAAATATTTTCGTTTAGCTTTTTCAATCATTTTGTTTAGTTGTTAGGATGAGATTCGAACTCATCAACATCACTCTGAAAATATCTGAGAACTATTTATTAGACAAATGACGCTTTCTCTTCCGCCTCGTTTGTTAGGCCAATTTAATTTTATCAGAGTGTGGAAAGCATTCATCCCGATTTTTAGCATATGATGTTTCTATTATGTTGCCTTTTAACTCAGTGGTCGTTGCTTCTCACCATTAAGTACTATGCTTAGTGGATCCTTCTTCACACTCAACAATCAGCATAGTTGGGTATCAGTAGAATTCATCATTATATACTGCGGTAGTAGGAATCCCGTAGACTGATGAGTATTATAATACTGAGATGCATATTTTTTTGTTGGGAATCAGTAGTAATTCCCAGTTTGTTTTTCTACAAGATTATTTCGCTTAAAAGTAAGCCTGTTTAACACTACTCTTGTTTAGAAAATGGTAAGTTTCGTCTTTGGCGGTCATTTGACGTCACTAATCCTTATTCAGTTGGCTATAGTGGACAGTTTACTTTTACGCTGACTAAGGATATATATAATATATCCTTTTCAATTGGTCCCTCATCATCGACTCTACACTGATATATAGTTTTTATTGCATCAAAAGTTTTTTTTACCAACCAAATGGCAATTTCATTTAATCATTTAGGTATAGGGGGGGGGGTGAAATTAAGAGGTTAAAAGTCATCAAAACAATCAACTAATAGATGTTAGTAACAAGATATCTAAGTTTTGAAGGAGGGAGCGGTGTATATAAATACGGAATTCAAGATAAATTAATCCTTAGGCGTTAGCAACAAGTGATTACATAATCAAGGAATTTATAAAATAATGATGACTTAGAAGAAGTACGTAAAATACAAACATAAAGTGTATGTCACTGAATTGGTGAAATCAATTATTGGTCTTAAAGGAACATTTGTTTTGTGGATTTTCGGTATTCCATAAAATCTCGCGGCCGTGTTTGTTTTGGGAGTTATTGAAAACCAAACTGAATTTCCTAGTTTTGGTTTCAATTCTCTAAGTAGATTGCATACTTGTGCTTTTACTTTGTTCATAGTACTAGACATTTTGTTTATTGGCACTAGTGAGTATGTTCTCTGGGATTATTTTAAATAATTTATAATGATCCAATCTGACTCGGCGCTCAAATTACTCCAGGATATTCATAACATCTACAGTATGGAAACTTATAAAAATAACCACTTGGTTGGTAAAATTTTAATGTGAAAACTGTATATTAGTGTAGACCCAACGATGAGGAACTAATTGTCATGAATACCGATTATAATGTTTTCCATGTTATATTATTGTATTATTATTATTGTTCCCTTGGGTTCCTAGTGGAACATAGGGCTTCAACTACACGTCTCCACTTGCTTCTGTCTGCTGCTGTACTTTTCACTTGCATCCATGTTAATCCATACTGTTTCAGCTCCTCTTCACACGATCTCCTCCATGTCACCCTTGGACGTCCCACTCGCCGCTTCCCTTTCGGCTTCCACTCGAGCTTTGGTCTGACGCGCGATGTCACTCAACGGCCTCCTCAGCGAGTGTCCAATCCATCTCCAGTTTCTCCTGCATATTTGTTGAGCGATTGGTTCTTGTTTTGTTTGTTCCCATAGTTTCTTGTTGGTGATTCTTTCTGGCCATTTGATTTTCAGTATAGAGCGAAGACAGTTGTTGATCAAGGTCTGCAACAGGCTGTTGGAAATATTCTTTGTGACACAGTGGCCAAGTTTCTGATCCGTATAGAAGAACTGACTAACTTGACGTTTGTATTGAAAATCCGAATTTTGTTGTTGATGCTGAGTGACAAAGATTTCCAGATTGGTTTCAGGTTGATGAATGTGTTTCTCGCTTTCCCGACTCTCGATTTGATATCCTCGTCCGTTCCTCCTGTAGTTGAGACAATGCTCCCTAGATAAGTGAATGAAGTAACCTCTTTCAAATCCCTCCCGTTGATGGTGACTGACGCTGGATGTTGCTGCTGTTGTTGTTGTTGGTTGGTTATTTTCACAACCTCCGTCTTGTCTATGTTCACCTGGAGTCCTGTCTTTGCTGCTTCTTCGACCAGTTTTATATGTGTCATTGTTACTTCACTCTTTTCTTTTGCTATTATTAATTATCTTATCTTGTATTTTGCCTTTTTTTCTCCCCTGTGTTGTCTTACCACTGAAATAGAGTAAAGGTATGAATGAAAGTTGTTTTACAACAGCTCTTCGGTGTATACGCAGCACTGGTCTACGTTTGGACAATGTAATGAAGAATACTGGTAAACGTAAATATGCCTTTCATCGCCTACAATTATTATCCTTTCCCAGACTGTATAAACCACCAATGGGAACGTATTCATCAAATGTTTCATCTTAATATCAAGAAAGAAAAGAAAGAAAGAAGAAATTATAATATAAATATAATAATTTTGATAAATCTGACATATATATACATGTAAAACTAGTGTTGTACTTCTGTTTCTGTTCTTCTAGTCGTCTCCTTATTTGTGATTACATTTCTTTAAGAATGGTGAATCCTTTCTTATTGGATGATTAGTGTTAAGGATTTTTGAAAAATCTACTCGTGATCATTGCTGAATAACAATGGAAAAGAAAGTGTATTCTTGTCTTAATAAGATTTCTTTATCGCTTATTGTTTGTTATGTTTTTTTGTTTTTTAATCTTTAATGTTGTCATTGTACAGATTTATACTGTTCATTTTGATTTCTAATTATCATATTATCTATTTATTTATTTATTTCATTGAGAAAGGAGTTAATGAAAATATGAAAAATACGGCTAAATAAAAGAGTTTATTTATTTGTTTATATTTACTGAGGTGAACAGAAGGATAGGGAACAAACGATAGTATTCATTACCTACATACACAGAGGATAAATAGTCAATGAACTTTTGTAGTTTATGTTGTGCATATTTTGTTTATTCTATTTCTCTTCATGCGTGTTTGTTATTGTATTTAACTTAAAACACTTACTTATGGGCATCAAGAGATGCGCGCCATACAAAATGTCATAGTTTTTTGCGACGGCTGAGATTACTACCCGGAAGATCAGATCGAAGGGACCACATTCCGAACCTTCTTGACTTCTTGAAGTCTGATCCACAATGCAGTGAAGCAGCGTCAAGAGCTACGCTCCCATAGTTAGTTGGCAATGAACAAAACACAACCTTTCAAATTCTCGAGTTAATGTACACTATAGGTTTGGAGTCAGGGTTTTCCAGTTCCTGTAGGTAGACCTGGATGTAAACCAGTTCGATTGTAAACGCCAGACTTTCTCAATTGCTCCTTCACTTTTGTGAGGAACACGTCTACCTCTGCTAGGTGAAGTCATTGAATAGGAGATATATGGCACAGGCTATGGACGCGTGACCACATGAGAGTATTTCGAGAGAAAGTCTTAATTGCATGGAGGATTTCACCATGAACTGACATCAGTTAGAAAACCACTGGAAAACCTGGGAGTACTGGATAGCTATTTCGTCCTAGTTCGGGACTCTTCATTAGTACGCACCCACTGGGGTTCGAACCCTTCTGGTTACAAGACTAGCGAGCTCGTAGACCATTGAGCCACTCGGACCCGATCCAATGGTCCTTGAATTCTAACTTCTGCCAATTCACGACATAGCGCGACCATTTCGCAATGTCTTCTTCGATGAGTTACTGCCTCATCTTCAACCTGCTGTACTCTACTGGTCATGGCTTCCCAGTAGAATTCCATGTTTTTCAGTGGTTCTCTAACTGATGTCAGCTCATGATGAAATCCTCCATGCAATCAAACAAAAATCCCTACAAAACCAATACTTGAAGAAAGTCTTAAGTCTATTCATCCTCGGCAGGACCAGGTTGTTTATGGGGACTGTTCATGTGTACAGAGCTTTCGACTCCAGCTAAGATGTTAAGTTTGAATGCACCTGTATTGAGAGATGAAATTGATGTATTTTCCAATAGTGTGTATAGAGGTAGTAATGCTTTATTTGTTGACTATCATCTTTTTATCTGATTGACTTTTTTTCTCGGTAGAAATGATGCGGAATGTTTACACTGACGTGGTACTTATCATTTGAATTGAAATTGGGTGGAGTTTCGCCTGTTTTAGCCTAAACTGTGCTTTTTATGGAATGGTTAGTTTTTACTAGTGGATGATGTTTACTTTTGCGTTAGATTAGGCTTTCACTCTACTGGATAAACTTTGAATCTGCAGAACATGTTAGTTGATGAGTAATTATAGATCACATACATCGAGTAGGATTAATTGCTTATCAGATGATGTTGATGATGGTATAAACTTTGGGTGGCCGTTTGGAGCCAAACTCACTAGCAATGTACACTCAGGTTGGATTAGATCTGAGGGCCGACTGTCTTCGTCAGAATTCTAGCGAACTGATAATGCATATAATAAAGTTCTTTATTTGTACACTACATAGTTTCAGGTGAAAATTCACTCCGGTGTACTTTAAAAACCCAAAATCGATTGATCACAGTATGTGACTTACTTCACATCTTAAATAGTACCAAGAAAGCAAGCGAGATGTTCAACATGAGTATTATTCTCTCTGTTGATGCTGTAGGTATTCGTGATTTTCTGCTAGTGTTTCTATTACATGCAACTTGGGAAATACTTCACGCTCTTATTCTTATTCATAGATAGTTTCGATTATTTCATATTTAATCTCCTTGTAGCCTACTTTCTTCGTAGTACTACGTCTCAGTTTCTAGCAGTTTGTGTTTCTTGAACCTGAGTATACGATTACATCGAAAGAGACCGTCATACTATGTGCACTTAGTTTTATTTCTTTAACTTCATTCATCTAAGAATTCTTTACAGATTTGATAGCCTACTTTCTTCGTAGTACTACGTCTCAGTTTCTAGCAGCTTGTGTTTCTTGAACCCGAGTATACGATTACATCGAAAGAGACCGTCATACTATGTGTACTTAGTTTTATTTCTTTAACTTCATTCATCTAAGAATTCTTTACAGATTTGATAACGATGTGACATCATTTTGAGAATCATTTGGAAATCAAGCAGTACTGGACAGCTGTTTCGTCCTGGTTTGGGATTCTTCATCAGTGTTCACTTAATCGGGTGGGGACCATGTGGCAACAAGGTGAGGTCATCGGCGATCCAACCAATGGGATTTTACCCAATGGCTCATGAATTCTGACTTCTACGAATTCGCCAGCCGATGGTTCCACTGGTTCTATTACCGATGTCAGCTTGTGATCAAACCATCAACCAATCACAAATCCCTGCAAACCAACACTTGAATATCTAGGAATTGTATCGTTGAGTTGAGATTAAGTCTTCAAGTATAACCGTTGATTTATTAGTGGGAAATTTGGTTGTTTTTAGAATAATGGAAATATTAGTTTGTTCCATGTTAATCTTCTCCGGCGGGATTTAAATTAAGCTTCTAAATAAATATTTTGATCTGACATAATTTCACCATCTAGGCCTCCAACAACACTTATATTCATTTTTATAGTTGAGATTAACCTTAACGTTTTAAACTTATATATCCTGATTAATGTGTTTCATTTAATGATTTTGTTTTAGGGTTTATCAGGTGAATTGCTTAATGCAAGTATTAACTCAGTCGTACATAGATTTTTTAAAATTCTAAATGATATTTCATGTGATACGGAAACTAAGTTTAGTTATTCCTCAGGGTGATCATGTCGCAGTTAGCTATAATCAATATTATATCAGTGAATATTGTATTTCAGTGTATGAAAAAGATCAGAAGACATTTCTAATTATCGTTGTGTAATAAGTAGATTGTACCGAAGGTGAACACTTTCATTTGCGATGAAATACATCTATTTAGTGACTTAAAAACCAAGCTGTATAAATAAATTCTAGTTGAACAATTCATATCATATCTTCATACATTTACTCCCCTTTATGAATTTGAATAAAGCAAGAACAACAGTTTGTGCAGAATAAAGTGGTACCATCATTTATTTCGTTGGCTTCTCATCAGCTGCTTACAGGCCAAAGACATTATTAAGTTTATTTACAGAAACAGTTTTAACATACTTGCACAGAGTTCATTTTTAAACGAAAAATCAGTCAATATATGTATACAATGCTAATAATAATAATAAACAGTTTACCCCCAAACAACAATGATCATACATAATGGAAACTTCCGGCATTACTTAATCAGATGAAAGAGGATGAAAATGCCCAATTACTAGGGCAAGGAAAGACTGATAACCTCTTCTTTCTGAACACATAAGTCGGGTTTCAGGCGCTTAGGTGCAATCAAAAGTCGACACATATCCTTCTCATGTTAATTCCAACTCTGTATACTAATTTACATGTATCTACGGGAGCAGTTACAATGGAAGAACAGAAAGAAGGGCATACCTCTGATTTTCTGTACATGTACGAAAAAGCCCATGCCTGTAGGGAACAAATGCTTTAAACAGTGACATCGCCAGGCATCTCCTTCATATGGGTCATGAGGTGGACATCGCAAGATCGTTCAAAATTATCAGTAGGCAAAATAGTTCAATTCTCCTCTAGTTTACCGACGCGATCTCCGTCAAGCACATAAAACCTGACTTATGTGTTCAGAAAGAAGAGGTTATCAGTCTTTCCTTGCCCTAGTAACTGGGTATTTTCATCTTCTCTTTCATCTGATTAAGTAATGCCGAAAGTTTCCATTATGTATGATCATTGTTGTTTGGGGTAAACTGTTTATTATTATTATTAGCATTGTATACATATATTGACTGATTTTTCGTTTAAAAATGAACTCTGTGCAAGTATGTTAAAATTGTTTCTGTAAATAAACTTAATAATGTCTTTGGCCTGTAAGCAGCTGATGAGAAGCCAACGAAATAAATGATGGTACCACTTTATTCTGCACAAACTGTTGTTCTTGCTTTATTCAAATTCATAAAGGACCTATAAATGTAGAAAGCTGACTTATTTCTGCAAATGCTGATTTTTAAGACACGTGTCCCTTTCGCTAGTTAACAATGTATCCATTGAAATAAACTGAGAAGAGATATGTTTAAATATTTATGTCTCTTCTTTTGTCATGACTACTTGCTCTGCCTATCTTCACATGACAGAATATTTAAAGTGAATGCCTAGTGTATAAAAATGATCTAGGTTGCTGAATTGCACTGTTATTTATTTTCAGTACATTGTTTTAATGAAATTATTTGGGTGAAAGTGATATTTGTTGCTTTAGAAAATATCGAAGTTTAATTTTCGACACCTTATACACATCGATTGTTTGACATTCGAAACAACATCACCACTTTAAATTTATATTAGCAAACTCTTGGGTAGTTGCCTTCGTTGATAGCTGCAGCGTGGGTAGAAGGGTTTGTACAGCATTCACCAACTTGCGTCGTTTTTAACTCAAGCATGATATTCTGCTTTCCGTCAAACAACACGTGTACTGTGCAATACTTCGCCCCATATTTCGATACGGCTTTGGCACTTAGCTGTTGAAAGCGGAAGGTACGAATGAAGAGGCTAGGCGTCTTTGACTATTATCATCTGCACTGAATCTCTCAGGCTAGGTGGTTTAATTTACGGAATCTAACGAAAGCTACCGCGTGAAGTCTTAGACAATTTACTACTGATTGATTGAAATGAGTAGTTGTATACCACTCATATCAGTCAGTAGTGCTTGCTAACCAGCCAGATCGGAGTGACCTAAACACCTAATGGCCGTCACTCTCGTTCTGAGCCGTTCTTATCAGAGGTGTACCCGGTTTGACACAGCTGAGAAAGTCGAGTTAGCTGAAACCACCGAAATTCTAACTAGTCACTTAGGCAAACTGGTAGAAATTTAAATCAAGTCTAAGCTGAACGTTCAGAAGAGTTTGGT